TTAATTCAAAAGTAAATAATTGTAGTTCAAAGACGAAGGGGGGATCTATCCCCCCAATCCCCTCCCCCCTGGCTACGCCACTGGTTTGAAATAATCATACCTATCACAGTATCTGACGGATGCCGTCCGCTCGGATCTAATCCGATTCTTGCGAAAGACATCTGTGGGATACATGCCTATTCCGGTCCGCAGGATGTCATTCGCCTGAATCTAATCCTTCAAACTCGCTTGTTATGATAGTGCGAACCGGACTAGATGCGTGTNAATCTAATCCTTCAAACTCGCTTGTTATGATAGTGCGAATCGGACTAGATGCGTGCNGAAGGGGGGATCTATCCCCCCAATCCCCTCCCCCTGGCTACGCCACTGGTTTGAAATAATCATACCTATCACAGTATCCGACGGATGCCGTCCGCTCGGATCTAATCCGATTCTTGCGAAAGACATCTGTGGGATACATGCCTATTCCGGTCCGCAGGATGTCATTCGCCTGAATCTAATCCTTCAAACTCGCTTGTTATGATAGTGCGAACCGGACTAGATGCGTGTGGATGACACACTTAAACGAACCAACTGAGAGTATTAAGTTTGCTTCCTGGGGCAAAGAGAGAAACCTGCTTCTAATTAAAATTTTTTAAAGTGAGCTTCAAATTAAAAGTAATTTTAAATGAAATGTATAGAATTCGTTGACTATTTAAACACTGAAGATGGAAATGATCGCATTATTCAAGGCGAATTAATATAAGGTGATAGCAGGAGTACAAAAACAAAAAATTACATGTATTTTGTTTTTGCTTTGGCGGCATAAACTGCCAAAATCTGTAAGAGTGTGTGTAGAAATTCAAACAAAATTTTTCAATTTGATATCAGAAGCCGTGCGGCAAAACACATACACAAAATCAGCGGAGCTAGTAACACCACCTTGTATAAATTCGCCTTGGCATTATTGCTATTCAAAAATGTCAATTTCACGACAGCAATTTAAGTGAAAAATGATTTTAGTTTTTTTAATTTTATATGGAAATTGACAAAAAATAAAAAATAATTTTCCATTTAAATTGTTGGTGAAGCCGGCTGTTACATTTATAATTTTGCTTTGAATAAAAATGTACTCAAAAGTACTGATTTTTTTAGCATGAAAAAGTCTAACGTACTGATTTCGCGCATAAAAAATCTGGCAGCCCTACTTTAGTGCATCGGATAGCATTTATGTTGCAAATAGAAATAGGTTGCTGCCCGGTTATGCGAAAATGATTCTTTTTTTAATGAAAAATATAAAATATTGTAACTTAATGTTCGGATAGCAGAAAAGCGGCCGGATAAGCCGGATTCCAGATATCTGCCGCGTACCCGGCACATCTTTACATAAATATATGTACATATCTATATACATATATTGCTTATTTATTATTATTTTATTCGTTATTCGAATAATTAATTAAAAAAATATATAATAATAATAATAATAATTAATAAAATAATTTATCCGTCATTCGAATAATTTTTCTTTGAATAAACAAAGTTATTTATTATTTACGAATAACGAGAAAAACAATTTATTCATTTCTTCACTCTGAATATAACCACATAACCTGATAACCAGGCAAGTGTGAACAACCTCAGTTTTTTTTTGCACAGAGTCGGAAATTTGGTTTTATATGGGTTAGGAAAATAATGAACATTAAATAAACTAAAGGAAAATAGCCAAACCTTGATAAAATGTCGAGTCCTAATTTATATTTTGGTCACTGTATATATTCCTCGATTCGAATCACAGGCGTTCAGATTAGAAAATAACTGTTAGACTGTCCCAAAAAACCAAAGTTGTATTTTTTTTTAACGCATATCCTTTTATTTTATTGGTTTTGTATTAAAAACTATCCGAATAAAATTTTATGCAATTCGGATCACAGCAACCCGTACCGACTTGCAGTCAAAGTTATCAGAATAAGCTTTGTGCAGTGCGTGTGTTTTGTTAATTTGCTCATTTTTCTTCTATATAATACGGTATTACTATACTCCCTACAGTATAAAGACATAATATTTAGTAAATCTGCGTTTTTGGTTTTTTACCAGGTAGTCAGGATTTTATCCAAAAACTTATAATATTTTTCCAAAAGCTTACACAAAATATGGGTATAAATTGAAAAAATAATTCGAAACAAGATTAATTATAACTTTTGTTTCCAATTATCCTTTTGGAACAATGCCAAAAATATCCTTTAAATTATTATCCTTTAAGATTTTTAATTCTTAATGCATTTTGAAGAATCTTAGTTTAATTTCAATCCTATGAATATATATGAGGATACAAAACGATAAAAATTTCAAAGGATATTTTTAAAATGTTTTGTTCAATACTTCCACATTTGTTCCTTAATAAACCCGAGAATAAACACTTTCTTTTGTTTATTTAGTGTTATGAAAGACTGTATTTGTAAAGGAGGAAAATACTTTAATAACTTAATGTTCATCATACGCCCGTCAGACCAATTAAAAAATGTTTTAATTAATTAATTAATTAATCCCAACGGCTTTTTACCCTCCATTCCCGCCCAACCGACACGGGGGACGCAGTCCGCATGACGTACGGAACCTTTTTTTTT